TTGGTTGGTGTTTTTTGCTTGGGTTGTTCCTGGTTTTGTTCTTGCCTTTTTTGGGTTCTTTCTGTTATTTATTTATTTATTTCTGTCTTGGGGTTATTTTCCTTGTGTTTATGTCATGGCAGCCGACAGGGGTAACTTGGTCTTTGAAGGCAGTGCTGGAGTAACATTTTAGAGGATTATGGGTTGGGACCATTGTAGGTATGGATGTCGATTTCCAAGTATAAGGTTGCGTTGGTAATTTTGTAGTTAATGGGCTGTATTTGGGACTACGTAGCTGTAGCATTGTCCCCGAGGTGGTGAAGTAGCAGCTGGGGCTTTCTCACTGGGTGGCAGATACAGCCAGGTTATTTGCTGTGATTATCAGTGCCTTCAAAGGCCTTGGACCCGGTTAGGATCATTACTGTTCAGTTAATACATTGATTGTACTTGATGCATTGATTATAGAGTAGTTGGGGCGGCACAGTGGCTTAGTGGTTAGCACGTCTGCCGTGCAGTAAATGGGTCATGGGTTAAATTCCTGATGATGCCTCCTGCATGGAGTTTGCATGTTCTCCCTGTACTTGCATGGGTTTCCTCCAGGTGCTCTGGTTTCCTCCCACACTCCAAAGACATGCTGGTAGGTTAATTGGATCCTGTCTAAATTGGCCCTAATATGTGTATGTATGAATGTGAGTTAGGGACCTTAGATTGTACATCCCTTGAGGGTTCGGGACTGATGTGCATGTTCAATATTTATGTAAAGCGCTGTGTAAATTGACAGCGCTATATAAGTACCTGAAATAAATAAATAAATAGTAGTTGTTATGTTAAATAAATGGGCTGCTGACCATAAAATGGAGACTTGTGTGGTTATTTCAGGCGGGCGAAGGTTGGGGGTCGTTTTCTTTATTTAGGTGGCTAGTTAAGTGGTTAGCCTCAATATTCTGCAGGTCCCTCAGTCATGTTCTCCCACAGCCTGAAAACTGTCCATACTGAGACAGATGTGCTTCTATGCCTTGCGTGGTCAATTTGAAAAAGGAAAGCATGGGGACTGGCAGGAACACCAGATATTTCACATAAAGGAAGAAGTACAAATAGAACAGGATACGTTTTAACAGAAGTACATGGTACAAAGTGCAGATATCAGGAATATGAAATGTTGGGATAACATATTCTTTAAATATATTGTATAGATTGATGTAAAAAGTGACCAGTATTTGCACTGCAGTCTAATTTACAATGCACCTAATTTTGGTTTTATACTGAGGACCAGCAGGCAGATTTGTATGATGTCTCTTTGACCAACATCAGTTGCAAGCTCATTGTGGATAGATTAAGATGCTGAACATGTATGATGGTTACTAGTTAAGTTATATTACTGGTAGGGTTGGTAGAGTATCTGTTTCTGTGGAAGATGTATTTTTATACCATCTAATACATTTTTCAGCAGGGAAACCTGAGAAATCTATTAATGATCTTTTTAGGATTATTTTGACAAATTGTTTTTAATCCACTGTGGTACTATTAGCAGTAATGAATGTTCATCCTAGGGGTAATCTCTGCGTGGTATTCATTGTAATTTGTGAACATTTTATAAAAAAATAGATTGTACTAAAAATTAATTAACATGCATTGCAAAAAGCAATAATGATTTGTAAAGTGTATGGAGCAACCAATCAAATTTCATTCCTAACCTGAGCTGACTAGTGTAAAGAGAGATGTGATTGGATGCTATGGCTTACAATAATGTGCACATCTGCACTGCTCTTTTTTCTGCCTTATTAAATAACCCTGCTTCCCGCACTGATCTGGGTTGGGAATAAAACACATCAATGTATGTTTGGGGTGGGATGCGACATATTTAAATCACGGAGACCTGCACAGTAAACTTTGTCAGACTTTCCTATTTCTCGTATGCACAGGACCATCAATCATATGCCACTTGTTAACCCAACCTTTCATTTGCCTGCCAGCTCTATCTTCACTTCCAGCCGGAACTTGATTCCCTGCAGGATTTCCCTCATTATACATCCCCCTTCCCTCCATCCGATTTTTTTTTTTTCCGCTGCCCAGCTCTCATCTTCATAATTTTTCATTTGCTCCGTAGACTCTACCTGGAATTCACAAGGTTCTGTGCCGTTGGGGGCTCCTCTAATTGTCCATTATAAAGAGGATGCTAATGAAAATGCTCAGAGACCTGGACTGAATTTAAAGCACAATTTAATTTTTCATGCTTGTCACGTGTTTATTGTAAATTCTTTATTTTCTTCATTATATTTAATTACTGCTTATTATTTAATTACAGTTCTTTTTTCTATGCTTTTTGTTGTGTCCTAACCCCAGCCACTGCAAATTTTCTGGTTGCTACAAGCGATCTCTGCGCTGGTACATATTGTTTAGCTGTTCATAAGATGGCATGGGATGTGGCAGGGGGGGATGATAGGTGCCACCTTACCAGGTTAAGCAATAGTCAGGGTGCTGTAGGTCCAATCTATTAGTGTTGGTGCTCCTAAATTCAAGTAGCAGCATAAAAGGTTGCGAATAGGTACAGGTACACTTTAAAATCACATTACCCAGGAATCTCTGTTTTATTTCTATTTGAACATCCACCCTACTTTTGCAAGACTGGTTAATTATTACACTAAATTAAATTTACATCATAGGAAATATTTAATATCACATAATTAGAAAATACTAAAGATAACAGCAGTGTGAAAGCAATTAGAAGTATATTTCCCTATAGGAAAAAAAAAAAAACATTGTACATGCACATTAGGTAGGAAATATTTGAAAACTACATGTGTAAAACAGGGCTATTCCCATGAAAAAAGAAATACTTCATTTAAAGCATTCCTATTAATGGGTTTCATACTATAACACACATCAATATTAATATGTAGGGTTTATTTCTAGTTTATATTTCTGCAAACAAGGCAAACATGAGCTTAAAGGCCAAGTCCACCTAGAACTGATGATGTTCAAATGTAAACAAGCATTAGGGCTCATGTACATGGGGCGTTTGGAAAACTTCTGAACGATGGAAACTGACTGCTGGAAAACGTAGGTTAAAAAACGTCTGTTTAGCCGCGTTTGCATACCGCGTTTATGAGCGTTTGCGTTTATAAGCATTTTTAAAAGATAACCTCAGGAGACCTTCCCAAATGCCCAGAATGCACTGAGAAATAGTAAAAAATTAACTATTTTAGACATTTTAAGAGAAATAGAGAGCAGAAGCAGAGAGAGCAGTATGTGTTGAGATGACCTGTCTTTTCTGGTTGTATTCACTATGGATCCCATCATGAGCATAACGTTCTACCATTTTTTCCTTCACGCGAAAGGAACTGTCTGCACTTGTGTACTGGGTCCACTTGAATACATGGAAAACGCTTTGCATGCATTTCTGATGATGGAAAAAGGCTCTGGACAGCATCTGGATATGGAACAGTTAAAAAACACTTCTAAACGCAAACGCTTATAAATGCGGTTACTGTAAACGACTGTAAACGGCGATGTGTACATGGACACATAGGAAAACATTAGGGAGAGTTCAGGGGATGCTGAAAAAAATGCTGAACAGCTCCTGAAGGTCAGTTTAGGAGCTGCAGTGTACATGAGTCCTTAATGGGTTAATCCACCCAAAATATGTTTTACAAAACTTAGTAGATGACAGTTGAGGATTTTTGATGAGATTTATTATTTCTGGGTATTTATTCTCATGATATTGCCTGCTAGCAAAAATGAGGGGCTCCCATTCTCCATGCTGGATTGTATTTATTTTTATGTTGTAGAGAATGTAACAGAAGGTGTTTGGGTATTTAGGCTCATTGCACACAGGATCATTCAGCTGCAGTGAATTTCACTCTGCATCAGGGCTGCTGATAGAAACCACAGGGCCCCATACAGCCTACCCGACAGTCCCCCCTAAAAAAAACCCACTTTTTTTTATGCTTCAGTTCTGAATGAGCACAGTGATTGATTGGTATCGATCGTAATGTGACATATTTACTGAACCCTTCCCCCACTCTCCATCCTGAAGGATCCTATTGTGTAGTGGCAGCTACTGTTGGGAAGGAGAGGAACACAATGGGGCCTGGGTAGCAGGGGGAAACATATGGTGCACATTGAGGTTTATGGGTGTGGCGGGGGTGGTGGGTCAATTACTGGAACTGTTCCCCTGTATGGCTCTCTCTGCAGCAGCTGAAAGCCACTGGGAGGGGGAGGAGAAAAAGCAAGCTTTCAGCTGCTGCAGACAGAGCCATACAGAGAATCAGTTCCAGTAATTGCCACCCATTGTGCCAATCACCCTCCCTGCCCACATCAGATTCACCCATGTGCCTGGGCCTATCTGCTGGCCTGGGCCCATACAGGAGGACAGGTGGTACCCCCTTATCCACGGCCCTGCTCGGCATTTTAGTGAATTCAGGATGGACAGGTGCAGTATCCAGAGCACTGCAGGCAGCCTGTCAAAGTCTATGGCAAGCTGCAGCTGGATGGGGTGAACACTCTACTGAGTGATACTGGCATTTTGGCACTACGCATTTAGGGATGAAGGTCTTGAACGCAGAAGACTTGTGTTTTGGACCTTCATCCCTGAACACGCAGGGCTCTAAATGCCAGTATCACTTGGCACTGCCATATAATATGACAGGCTGCCTGCGGCATGGCTGAACGTTGCATTTGTCCATTCTGGAAGCACTAAAATTCCAAGAGGGACACACTGCTCCTGGATGGCTCTCTGTGCAAGGGGCTTTAGAGGCAGATGGGCACATTCTTCCACGTGAACAGGAACATAGTTGGGAAATATGGCAGTGAGATCTTACTGTTAGAATTCTAAAACTTCAGGGGCAGACTCAGCACACCAGTCTCAAGCTGAAACTAACATACCACTTTTGGTTAGATTGATGCTTTAACTGCCCCGCCCGCCATATAGTCCAATGACGGACTCAAGGTGGTTCTCTCGTTCTGGGAGGACGTCATATGACGTTCTCCCATTCTCACCGCGCATGCATGGCTCCGGGAGCGCTCCTCGGACACAGCGGATCACCGATCCACGGAAAGAGCCGAAGATGTCGGCTCGGTCATGTGATCAGCTGTGTCCAATCATAGCTGATCGCATGTAAACAGGGAAATGCCGGTTATAGGCATTTCTCTCCTCACGAGCTGTCACGCTGACAGCTCGTGAGGAAAGGAGAACCGGTAATCGGCATTCCTCGGAGGGGACATGTACACTGATCATCAGGGCACTGATGATCAGTGTGTCCTGATGATCAGTGTAGCCCCAGCAGTGCCACTTGTCAGTGTCCATCAGTGCCAGCTCTCAGTGCTCATCCATGCCACTGCCAATGCCCATCACTGCCACATCAATGCCACATATCAGTGCCTACCAGTGTACATCAATGCCACATATCAGTGCCTACCAGTGCACATCAATGCCACATATCAGTGACCATCTAAGCTGCCTTTTAGTGTCACCCATCAGTGCCAGTCAGTGCCACCTCTCAGTATGCCAATCAGTTCCACCTATCAGTGTGCCACCTATCAGTGCCAGTCAGTGCCGCCTATCAGTGTGCATCAGTGCCACCTATCAGTGCCCGTCAGTGCCGCCTATCAGTGCCAGTAACAGTGCCAGTCAGTGCCGCCTAACAGTGCCAGTCAGTGCCGCCTATCAGTGCTGCCTTTCAGTGCCCATCAGTGATGCCTGTCAATGCCCATCAGTGCCACCTACCAGTGCCTCCTCATCAGTGCCCATCAGTGCCACCTATCAGTGTCCATCAGTGCAGCCTATCAGTGCCCATCACTGCAGCCTCATTAGCGCACATCAGTGAAGGAGAAAACTCACTTATTACAAAATTTTATACCAAAAACTAAGAAAAAAAGTTTTTTCTTCAAAATTTAAAGTGGTTTTTGGTTTGTTTAAGAAAAATAAAAAACCCAGAGGTGATTAAATGCCACCAAAATAAAGCTCTATCTGTCACAAAAAAATTATAACAATTTCATATGGGTACAATGTTGCATGACCGAGCAATTGTCATTCAAAGTGTGACAGCGCTGAAAGCTGGAAATTGGCCTGGGCAGGAAGGGGGTATAATCGCCCTGTAGGCTAGTGGTTAAATGATATTTGCTGGCGTTGCCTGGAGAATAACATCACTTACAGTTAAGAGAAATAGTAGTGTTATTTATGTGTTTCCCCTTCTGATTGGGGAGGGAAGGAGCAGCAGAATACTGATGAGATTATCTCTGCAATATTCCTTTCAGTTCACAAGTTGTATTAGACTAAAAGTATAGTACAATGCAGTAGAACCTCATTACTATACATTATTCTTCTCTTAATCTGAGAGTTGCTGTGATGGGTATTAGACATGAAGGTGGCATAAAGACGAATCACATACATTTGGAGGATGCAGAGATGTAACGGAGTGAACGTCGTAGACCTGGAGTGCCAAAGAGGTGAGTATAAAATCTCTTTCATTGCATGGACTTTTCCTACATATTTTTGTTATTCTGACAGGGTAAGTGACTTCTTACTTTTAACACTTAGGGCCTAGATTCATCTTCAGAAATTGTTAAAGTGTAAAGGCAATTTTTTTCCCATTTTGGATAGAGTAAGGGAAAACTTATAACCTCTGTTGAGTTTTTTTTTTTTTTTTTTGCCATCTGTGTCCCGTAGGGGAGATTCCCCTTTACTTCCTGTCCATAGCCAAAACAGGAAGTGAGAGAAAATCCCAGAGTGTTACCAGTGTGGCCAGAACTAGTATCCCCATTGGAAAATTTCCACTTTATCACTGTTCCTATGTGAACCCAAAATTTGAAATGTTCTTTTACTTTCACTTTTGAAGGTAATGGAAAACAGGACAAATAGAGAGAGTGAATCTCCTTAACCCCTTGACGCCAAGCGCATGCAAATATATGGCGTCTTGGCGTCTGGGCCGTGACGCCGAGCGGCCGCATATTTACGTGCAATTAGAAAATACTTATGTGCTGAGAGCGCACGCCCTGCGCATTCCCAGCAGATATATACTTGACTCACAGAAAGGTCCCGATCTCCCCTTTTGATCGTGACCTTTTCCGATCATGTGACTGCGAATCACGGCGGTCACATGACCCTAAAACCCTGCCCGCCTCCTGGCTTCTGAAACTCATAAAGGGCTGGGAGGCACCAGCCCGTAGTGGTTAACCACTTCCAGACCGGACACTTTTACCCCCTTCCTGACCAGGCAATTTTCAGCTTTCAGCGCTTTCACACTTTGAATGACAATTGCTCGGTCATGCAACACTGTACCCAAATGAATTTTTTACCATTTTTTTGAGACAGATAAAGCTTTATTTTGGTGGTATTTATTCACCGCTGGAATTTTTTTATTTTTTTTGCTATGTAAATGAAAATGTCCAAAATTTTTGAAAAAAAAGTGTTTTTTTTAAATAAAATTTTGCAAATAAATAATATTTCATCATAAATCTTGGCCAAAATTTATTCTGTTATCTTTTTAGTAAAAAAAAAAATTCAAATTAATTTATAACCAAAAATTATAATTTTTAAACATTTTTTTTACATTTTAATTTTATTTTTTTAATTATTTTGTATTTATTTTTTTTTTTTACATACTGTCACCCTAGCAGTACAGTGTCACCATGGTGACACTGTACTACTTGTGGGGGGTGATGAAGATTTTTTTTTTTTTTTTTTTTACACTGATTGCTTTTACACCCATATAGGATGTAAAAGCAATCGTTTTCTCTTTCTCTCTGTCTGCATTCTTGCAGTCATTGAGAAGTACTGAGTGAGCTGTGATTGGTCACAGCTTGTCACATGGTACAAGGCTGTTCTGAATAGCCTTGTACCATGTGACCTCTGTGATCATTCACAGATTTCACATGTAGTAAGCAATGATGTCAGAAGTGACATCTTGCTTACTACTTTGCATGTGATCACTGATTGGCCAATCAGTGATCACATGATCGGGACCTCGTACAGAGGTCCCGTCCGACGATCGGTGTTTCACTGTGTCCGGAAGACACAGCGGGCACCGGATCGCGTTACTGCACGCTCCCAGGGAGCGCGCACAAGCAGGATGCGGGGGAGGCCGTTTATAAACAGCCACCCGACCCGGTCGGGCAGTGGTTAAGGAGAGCCCAGTCAGCAAAAAAAAAAAAACCTGACAGGTGTTCTAATTACTCTCCACTCTATCCAAAGCTAAAAATAACATTTTGAATTTAGTTATCCTTTAAAGCAGAACAATAATAGTGAACTGTATTGCACTTTATAAAGTTTTGTACAGGGCTGTCTGCATTGCATACTGACCTGCGCATGCACTGATCCTGGTAGAATGGTGGTAAAGCCCCCATGCATAGCAGCCCTTTCTGGCAGTTCCCCAGATTAACCTTGATGGGGAACCTCAATGGATGCAGTACAGGCCCCATCCACCCTTTGGTCCCTAATGTACTTTTGTGATAGGGCTGCCCAGAACCATAGTCATTAGCACCATTGCCTTGTATAGTTGGGATGCTGTGCTCATGTTCCACACTACCTACATTGGTTTTGCGAGTTCTCAGCGTATTTCCTCTCTATGTAGGTTAACTGACTGCTGAACAAAGTTCTGAACAAAGCATATGGATACATTTATATGACTTATCTGGAATGGTTCTATATAATCAGGAAAATATGACATAACATTAAATACATTGCTGCTCACAGACAGTGCAGCTCCTATAAGATTTTTATAATTTATTAATTAATCTAAACTTTGTAAAGAAAAATGATATACACAACATAGAATAAATAATTGCACTTGACTTACAATGACATTTAAATGATGATATTCAGCTATTTAATGAAAATCAATAGGAGGTACAGCCTCATTTGTGGCGGTGCATTCATTTACTCTATGTTTATATAGACACTAAATCGAAAAGACGTTTCATGGCTTTTTGAAAAATATTATCCTAGGCTTGAATTATTTATATAGTCAGTTCCATGGTAGTTTACAGTGTATGTAAACCTTAACAATAAACTTCTCTACTTTGCTGCCTTTTAGTCTGTTAAATATACTACTGAAATTATTTTGTTATATATGTTTAATAAGCGCAAAATAGCTCTGTATCTTGCCAAGAATGCAGGGCTGTCCTGTGTGCTCTGCAGTAATATCTCAATGCTACCAGAAAGTGATAGGACTACAGAACATCTCTCCCTATGTCATAAAGATAACGAGAGAGAGGTGTTCTGTAGTCCTATCATTCTGTCCTAGGGTGACAGTTACTTCCCAATAGATACAGTACAGTGGGGTTGATTTACTAAATCTGGAGAGTGCAGAATCTGGTTCAGCTCGGAAGAAACCAGCTTCCAGTTTTTTTGTCAAATTTAACTGAACAAGCTGAAGTTAGAAGCTGATTGGCTACCATGCACAGCTGCATCAGATTCTGCACTCCCCAGTTGTAGTAAATCACCTCCAGTGAGTTAGCATTGTTATCTTAGATTGGACTGGAAATATGTTATGGGCAGCATCTCCATGTTAAAATAATGGGAGAAAATACACAGAAAAAAGACCACCACACTGGTAAGCTGCAATATATTACATAGATAGTTAGTCGCGTTGAAAAATGATCCAGATCTCTTTAGGCAATTGAATATCCCCTTGATCAATAATATCTTGTGTAAGTGTTAACAGCCAGTTACATTTTGTGCATTCAGGAATTCATTCAGCATTTTTGTTACAATAAATTGAGCTTCTACCAATCAGTTGAGGGAGTCTATTTTCACATTTTCACAGCTCTTACCGTGAAGAAGACTTTCTGTATGCGGAGGTAAAATCTATTTTCCTCCAGACACCAGTATTGCCCCCTTGTCCACTGTAATGACCTGAAAGTGAATAACTGTACACCAAGTTCCCTATATGGACCACTTATGTCTTTATACATATTGATCATATCTCTCCTTAATCTTTGCTTCTCCAGAGAGAATAAATTCTGGTCAGATAATCTTTCCTCGTATGTTATCTCCTCCATGCCTCTTATCAGTTTGGTTGCCCTTCTCTTAACATTCTCCAGTTCCCTGACATCCTTTTTGTGAATTGGTGCCCAAACTGAACAACATATTACAGATGAGGTCTTACTAATGATTTGTACAGGGGCAAAATGATGTCAGAGTCTGGAGTCTACACAGTCTACACCTCTAATGTCTGGAATCTTCACCTCTAATGTCTGGAGTCTTCACCTCTAATGTCTGAAGTCTACGCCTCTAATGTCTGAAGTCTACGCCTCTAATGTCTGAAGTCTAAGCCTCTAATGTCTGGAATCTACAGCTCTAATGTCTGGAGTCTACAGCTCTAATGTTTGGAGTCTACAGCTCTAATGCCTGGAATCTATATCTCTAATGTTTGGAGCCTACACCTCTAATGCCTGGAGCCTACACCTCTATTGACTGGAGTCTACACCTCTAATTACTGGAGTCTACACCTCTAATGACTGGAGTCTACAGCTCTAATGACTGGAGTCTACAGCTCTAATGTCTGGAGTCTACAGCTCTAATGTCTGGAATCTATACCTCTAATGCCTGGAATCTACACCTCTAATGCCTGGAGTCTACGCCTATAATGACTGGAGTCTACGCCTATAATGACTGGAGTCTATGCCTCTAATGCCTGGAGTCTACTCCTCTAATGTCTGGAGTCTACGCCTCTAATGCCTGGAGTCTACGCCTCTAATGTCTGGAGTCTACGCCTCTAATGTCTGGAGTCTACGCCTCTAATGACTGGAGTCTACGCCTCTAATG